TCTCCTCCTTATCTGGCCCAGGCATTCTGTGGAGGGGGAGACCCTGAAGGCTGCAATTCGCTATGAAAGCGCAACTTCTGTTTGGGATTGCTTGTGCGTGGCACCAGTCACAGCCCTGGCCATGGTGAGTGTGGCCCACTGAGGGTTGGGGAAATGAGGGAATTGCTCAGTTGCATGATTCTAGTAGCGTAGGGCAGGGGCACTGGATACTGGCACCGTTTTGCACAGGTGGTGATTTTAGCTATGCCTCACTCCGGAGGGTAACAAAGGTAGAGAGCACAACTGCTGCTGGCGTCCTGAAGCTGCTTGGGTCTGTGTGTGCTGCTAGCCCATGTACTGCCGTGGTGCTGCTGAAGTTATCACTGAGTAGTGTAGGAAGGCAGCCTTCCCTAGAAACCTTTGGCAGAGGATTGCAGAATACCCCCATGGAAGTTTCATTGAGATCTCTCTGGAGGATTCCTGGGACATCTCTGTGCATGTAAACAAACTGCTCTGCCTGCCCCCTGCCTAACTCTAGAACAGGGATTCTCAAACTGGGGGTTGGGACCCCTCAGGGGGTCACGAGGTCATTACATGGGGGTCGCGAGCTGTCAACCTCCACCCCAAACCCTGCTTGCCTCCAGCATTTATAATGGTGTTAAATATATTTAAAAGGGTGTTTAATTTATTGGGGGGGGGGTCGCACTCAGAGGCTTATGATGTGAAAGGGGTCACCAGTAAAAGAAGTTTGAGACCCACTGCTCTAGATGGAATGAAAAGCAGACAGCAACCCTACCTCTCTCGGTTGTACCACTATCTCTTCCAGCACGAGTAAATTAATGAAGGGTCCAAAGATGTATCCTGCTTCTTTGGGGGTGCCAGCCCTGTAACTGAATATCTACACACTTACGCGTGGTTCCTTCCCCTGCTTTGGGTTCATCCATGCTTGACTGGCTGGACTGAGGTGGAGTCAAAAACAGATCCTGGTTTGCTGTACAGCTGGATCCCCCCCAATTGCCTGTTCCCCGTACTCCTCCTCTTCTTCATCTGCCACCATCTCCTCCTCCTCCTCGCTGTTCGCAGCAGAGGCCTTTGACTCTGGCTCACTGGCGGTATCCGCAGTGCTGTTGGGGGTGGTGGAGTCTCTGCCAAGTCTGAGCATGCAGCTCTTTGTAAATGCATCTGGTCTGCAGCTCGGCCCCAGATCGATTGTTGGTCTCCCTGGCCTTGTGATATGCCTGCCGCAGTTCCTTGGCTTTCATGCAGCACTGCTGCCGGTCTCTGTTAGACCCCTTCTCCTGCATCCCCCCGATCAATCTGCTCATAGATGTTGACGTTTTTGTGCCTGGTTTGGAGCTGTGCCCGCACAGCCTCCTCTCCCCAGAGGCCCAGGTGATCCAGTATCTCCTGTCTACTCCAGCCAGATGTGTGTCTGGAGTGTGTAGCCAGCATGGTCAGCTGGGCAGTTGCATATAACAGTGGAGAGCTGGATTGCCCCAGCTGGGCAATCACGAAAAGGAATTTCAAAAATTCATAGGGCTTTAAAGGGGAAGGAATGCGTTTCCAGTTTCTGTGACCCCGACAGCAGAATTCACAATGGTGACCAGAGATGGCATTGTGGGATAGCTGCTGGAGGACAGTTAAGGTCGCCTTAAGTAACTTAGTGTCTACACTAAGTACATTGATGGTAGCTCTATGCCACTCAGAGGGGTGGTGTTCTTAAGTAGGCATGACAGGGCACTTACATCCATGGGAGCCTAAGTTAAGTGTAGACACATGCACAGCTAGGTTGATGTAACCTGCCTTGCATTGATCTAACTGTGTTGTGTAGACAGTGCCTAAGGCACGGTTGCTACCAGAGCTCCTGCCTTCTATCACAGGCACTGATTAGCCCTAAGATTCTTGACTGGAAAGTCATTTCTGTAGCACTGCAGCACCATCTAGATCTAGTTGTGAATCTCCACTCACTCAAAAGTTTCTCTTCTCTCTGGGAATTCATCATGGAATCCCTGTCATTTGAAGAGTTTAAAGAACAGGTTAGAGAGACACCTGTCAGGTATGATCTAGAGCAGTGGTTCTTAACGTGTTTACCATCGTGGGCTGCATATGCAGGTCTCTGTTATGTGGGCTGCATCTACACAATAGAGATACTACCTGTACATCTACAAAAAAAATAGGTTTCGTATTTGTTATCCGACAGCATTATGATTCAAATTGATATAGGGCCTTTCATTTCAACACTGGCAAATGTCTACGAAGAGCATTTTAAATTAGCAAAAAAAGTCAAAACATTAACTGTTCAAATTAATTAATGTACTGTAAGGTTTGCATGGCAGGGTGTATTGCCCTCCTCGCTTCTATGCTGCTGCTGGTGGCGTGGCTGGGCTGAGCACCCGGAGAGCGCAGCTGTGGAACCTGTCTGTAAAGATGGGGAGCCCTGCATGGTGCGGAGTGCCTCCCCAGTATCTAGAGACCCCAGCGCTGTGCTGGCACACATGCCTGCCCTGCAGAGACAGGATGCCCTGTTTGGGGCAGAATAGCCTCTCTAGGGACTGTTCTTTCCAGCCCCGCACCTAGGGACTGCCTCACATGCACCTAGCTCTCCACCTAGGGACTGTGCCTTAATATCTAGCCCCCCATCCAGGGACTGCCCCCAGCCACCAGTTCCCTACCATCAGCTGCAACCCCCTTCTGCAGTCCTAGCTCCCTGACCCTTCCCCCTCTCCTCCTCCTCCCCCCCCCCCCCCGCACCATGCCCACTGGTCTCTTACCTCCACTGCAGGTAGCTCAGCTGTGCCGCCTGCCCTGCCCACTTGCCGCTGTGGTCCTAGTGCTAGGGAGCCTGCTCCAGCCAGAGTCACTGGACTTGTAATCCTGTGGCATGGGGGGGCACTGAGCACCCTGGTCTCCTGCTGATGCTACTGGGTCTGATCCTGCTGGGGGTGTGGGGCTGACACCGCTGGGCCTGAATTTGCACCCCTTCTCCCCCATCACCTCAGTGCCCGGGGCAGGTGCCCCTCCCATCCGACCGTAGTTACAGTCCTGAGGATATCGCATGGGCTACAGCTGTGTGCTGATTAGGCCTGAGTTGAGATCGGCTGGTCTAGAGATATTTAATCCTGCCTTAGTGCAGGGGGTTAGATTAGATGACCTCTCAAGGTCCCTTCCAGCCCTACATTTCTGTGCTTTTCTAGAGAGCTGATGGATTTATGTAAGTACCTGTGATTAATGGTGAAACAATAATGTCCCCCACTGATAGCACAGTAGCTGACTTTGGTACTTATAACTAACTAGGCCAGCAAAGTAAACATTCCTCCTCTGACATAAGAAAAAAACCAAGTAAACAGATATTGCAGTTTCAAGGTGAACATATTTGAAAGCCGTAGATGTTTAAAGTCTTCTCCTTTGGCTCTAGGAGTGTGAATATGCAGCGGGGTGCTGTCCTATTAAATGCAGATCTGCAGAAGCACTGTAATAAAATTGAGCACAGTGGGCAATAATTTAAAAAAACTGATGAGGTCCCGGTCACTGACTCAATTACGGGGTTCCTGCTACGCCCAAGGCTTTCAGGAATTTCAGAGATCATGTGGGCTTGGAAAAGAATAGAGCCTTATTGTGGAAAAATCCCATAAAGTAGGTGGGAGGGGAGATGAATGTTAATTAGGAACACCTGCAAACCCCACAATGTACTTACTAATTAAGTATAAAGGTATTGGTATCAGCACTTCACCTAGAAGTGGGCATGCAACTCAGTGGGTATAGTCTCTTCTATGGCAAGAATGTAAATCCTATTAACATTAATGCGAAGTCATGGGGAGTATCTAGGGGAAGAATGGTTTCAGAGTGGTAGCCATGTTAGTCTATATCAGCAAAAAGAATGAGGCGTACTTGTGGCACCTTAGAGACTAACAAATTTATTTGGGCATAAGCTTTCGTGGGCTAAAACCCATTTCATCCGATGCATGCAGTGGAAAATACAGTAGGAAGATGTATACATACACACGGAGAACATGAAAAAATGGGTGTTGCCATACCAACTATAACGAGACTAATCAATTAAAGTGGGCTATTTGATTAGTCTCATTGGTATGGCAACACCCATTTTTTTTCATGTTCTCTGTGTGTGTGTATATATGGCTTCCTACTGTATTTTCTACTGCATGCATCCGATTAAATGAGTTTTAGCCCACGAAAGCTTATGCCCAAATAAATTTGTTAGTCTTTAAGGTGCCACAAGTACTCCTGTTCTTTTAGGGGAAGAATAGGATTTTTCAAAGATATTTAGGTGCCTAAAGATTCACAAATGCACCTACTAGGATTTTCAAAAGCACTTATCTGCAACACTGGGCGCCTAAATAAATATTGAAAATCTGGTCCTTGATGTCTGTCTTCTGGATGTGATTCTTCCCAACCGACTGTTGGGCTGACACTGTTAGATCCTGCCACTCAGTTTGTTTACTTTCTTCAGCTGTCCATAGGTTTAGGAAGCTTTACTTATGATGAAAATACTTTACCGTCATAAACATTTAGAAAGATGGGACACTGGCCACAACAGTACTCTGCTAGCTGCCTTATGAGGGACACCTCCGCTCAGGGAAACATGCCAGGTTTGTATTTCATGCAGTTAGGCCATTGTTTTAAAACCACACTGGGCTTGTATATCTTTTGTCTTCAAGTGTCTGTTATAAATAACCAAACCGCCTTCCTCCTTAAGTGCTCTCTTGTGATGTAAGGCATTGATAGAGGTCTAGGAGTCTTGAAACTTGTGTTCTATTCCAGTTCTGCCACAGTTATCCTGGGTCCCCTTGATGTAAGTCACCCAACATGCCTCAATTTGTCCATCTGTAGAAAGGGGATAATGCTGCTTTTCATAAGGATATTGTGAGGCTAAATTAATGAAATGCTTATAAAGAGTTTTGAGATTTGTACATGGAATTTTCTACGTATGAGAATTTGTTTATGCAAAATCGAATGGACAGAGTAAAGAACTGCATTTTAATATGTGATTATTTTGTTCTTAGCCAGTTTCAAATGTGGATCAGGAGACCCTGACAGAGCTGGTGAAACCGAGCATTGACTATGTACGTCATAAAAAATTCAGATCTGGGAACTATCCATCATCATTAAGCAATGAAACGGATAGACTAGTCCACTGGTGCCATGGTGCCCCAGGAGTTATCCACATGTTAATGCAAGCTTATAAGGTAAGTCTTTCTCTTATACATGTGCATGCACATCCTCAGGCGTCCGTATGTCTACAGAAGTAATTTTTGATCTTTGGGCTCCTAGTTTTGAAATCTTGGTCTGTAATCTTTGAGTCTTTATTCAGAATGTTAAAGGTGTCTTTAATTTTAAAAATCAATATCTCTAAACCACCTTTTACTTTAAGGATTGTAGTATTATTAAGATGCATCACTTACTGATGATGTCAGATTACAAAGATCCCAGATGCCTGACAAATATAATGTGTATCCTATCACAGTAATTTAGCACTAGCCTAGTCTTTGTTCCTATGTATCCTCACTGGTTCTGCTGTTGTTTTCAGGTTCCGGAGCTCTGAGTCACAGAACATTAGTAAGCAAGCAGTTTAATTAAATTTATGCAAATTGATTCCTGTTCTTGACAAGCTGCCTTGGCAGGTTCTCTGCTTGGTCTGAGTGGGCTGATGAAAAGCATTCATGGTTATCTGTATAATTATGCGCACTGCTACCTGAAATTTGAACTGTAAACCTCCTAAAGTGTTTCTGAATGCAACAGAAGCCACAGGAGCATGTGCTCTGGAGTGCTCTGAGAGGAAGGGTGATTGGACACTGCAAAAATCCATTTTTCCCTTCCCGCTGTAATGCTTTCTCAGCACAAAATGCTGTATATCTTGAGGAGTTGAGAGGATCAGGAACATTTTTGGTTGGCAGACACTTTTTTGGCCCTACCTTGTCTTTTAAGATGTTCAGGTCACATAATCCGCTTCTTTTTACTTCACAGTCTCCTTTCTTAAAGAGCAATATAAAAAGTAATTGAAGAGATACTTTACAGTATGGAGTACGATCTGTTGACTAAGAGGGATTTAGGTAATGGAAAGTAGCTCCTTGGAAACTAGAACCAATCATCCAGCCTTCAAGTTAAGTCTTGTAACTGGACTGTCCTTGTGTGGTAATAGAGAAGCTGTTCAGATAGTGAGATGTTTTCTCTGCCTTGTTGGTCGAATTTTACAAAGCTCATGAAACTATTTAATTAAAAAAAAAAAAACCCTCATACTGATGGTACTATTCACTTGCTTAATGACAGCCACTGATAGATCGAGGCTTTATAAACCTCTAAGTATGTCAACCATCCCTTTTTTGATTTACTGCTGATCTGAGTTAGACCAGATAGAGAAGAGCAGAAACTGGCTGCTTAAGACTACAGGTCTCTGGTGTCTCAGTGAAAACCATCTGTTTCATTCCCTGCTTTCCTGATGGACTCCATAACATAACTTTAGATGGAGTTTTGGGTGTAAGTAAAGTCTGCAAGAGTGGGTTCTTGGTGTTTGAAACACAGCTGAAGGTCAGGCTGAGAGGAATGCTTGTATGGTCCCTAGCACAATGGGGCTAGTGCCTCACAGAGCTACTGCAGTACGAACAATGATCTATAGTCAAGATCATTGTTGTGCTTCTGGTAAAGAGGCAAATGCCATACTGGGTAATATGAAATGTAAAGCATTTCTTTGACAGCGTTTCAATGTAGAAACAGGGAGGACCTGCCCTTGGCCAGAAGTCACCATGACCTCAACCAGAAGGCTTGGGGCTGAAACCCGTTGTGCCCCCATCTGTTACATGAATCTAATTAGAATAACCCTTTTGTATTTCAAGTTTAAATCAAACACAGTCACAATTTGGAGGAGGGGGGAGTAGTGAAAAAAGGAGAGTGAGAACTCTTGATAGATGATAAATGTGAACTATAGAGAGAATCTAGAATTTAAGATACGGATCTTGTGTTTTCTTTTGATCATGCTTTCAGATTCATAAAGTCCTCTTAATTTTTTTTTATCCTGCACAGGAGGGGAAGCAGTCTGGTAAGAGAGGAAAATTATTGCTGTGGTGGGTGGATTATAAATAGCTAGAGAACAGATGAAACTTGCCGCATTCTCCACTCCCTTTTTCTGTTGCTGGGTAGGTTGGTTGAATTTGAGTGTTTTTCTTATTCCATAGAGCTTTAAAGAGGATAAATATTTGAAGGATGCCATGGACTGCAGTGATGTCATCTGGCAGAGAGGTTTGCTGAGGAAAGGGTATGGAATCTGCCATGGGACCGCTGGCAATGGCTACTCCTTCTTATCTCTCTATCACCTAACTGAGGACAAAAAGTATCTCTACCGGGCTTGCAAGGTGGGATTTACTGTATTGCTTCTTCTCTGCTGGCTACAGTCGTATGAATTTCTGTGTGATTAATTGCAAACATCACATACCCTAATATAATAAAAAGGAATAATATTTCTATGCTACCTGTAACTTTTATTTAATTCTCAAAATGTAGGGAGTGTTTAGAATCAGAAATAGGAGTGGCCTGACCTGGTCTAAACGTAGCTAACCCGTGTTCTATTGTGATATTAAAAATATACTATAAGTATTCCCTTGCGATATCCGCTACGGGATACAGTGACTGTTCAGTGGTCTGTAATGATTATACTTTGGTTCATTGGCTTTCACACTAGTTGTTACCTGGGGGTTCTAGAACTCTGAATCGCATGGATTCAATTTTAATGTATATAAAATTAGCTGATTACTTTTTGCTGGGCCTGAGAGCCCCATGGTCTGAGTACTGCTTTGAGAGCTAATCCTTGCTCTGACATATTGCTTCCTTTGTGATCTTGGGAAAGTCATCTGAGCTGTGTGCCTCTGTTTTCTTATCTCACCAGAGTGTTATGAGCCTTAACTCGCTGAAGTTAATTAGACAACCGTAGACCTTTCTGTATAGTCTGAGACTATTTAAAATACTTCAACAGGAAATTTGAAAAATAGTCTCCCAACTGTCTTCAAATCAGCAGTGGCCATCTGTACAGAGGCTGTGTGGATTCCGATCATTTCACTGTGGAACAGTTGAAAGTTTTAAAACTGTTGGCTTTCTGTTTGCTTGTATCCTCTGATATTTACTGTAGTGCCCAGCAAGCCAGAGGCCTAGCTGGTATCAGACCTCAGGACTTCCTGTCTTCCAGCTCTGGATTCGTCCAGGGAAGCAGCATGATTTGAAGGAGAGTGGCATTAGAGATGTAGATCTAAACAATTGTATAAATCACTAGCAGTCAGGTAGCATAGGTAATGTCTGTAGGTCAATCTGTCTTGACCAGGTCTAACGCAATCTATTTTAGGTAATTTATATGGCCTCCATCACCATAGTGTCTGAGTGCCTCACAATCCTTCAGTGTTTTTAAGAACATAAGAACAGCCATATTGGGTCAGATCAATGGTCCATCTAGCACAATATCCTGATTTCCAGCAGTGGCCAGAGCCTGATGCTTCAGAGGGAATGAACAGAACAGGGCAATTAACGAGCAATCCACTCCCCTGTCATCCAGTCCCAATTTCTGGCAGTCGCTGGCTTAGGGACACTCAGAGCATGGGGTTGCATCCCTGACCATCTAGGCTAATTGCCATTGGTGGACCCTATCCTCCTTGAAATTATCCAGTTCTTTTTTGAGCCCAGTTATAGTTTTGGCCTTCACAACATCCCCTGGCAACAAGCTCCACAGGTTGATTGTGCATTGTGTAAAGAGGGCCTTGTGTATCTGGGACTGTTGAAATTTTTTTTCTGCTGAATAAAATTGTACAATATAAAATGGAAAGACTAAGTAATGATCAGAGGTAGATGGTGCCTCCACCCCTTTAGTCACCTAATTAGCAGCGTGAAACAGAATCTCAGTGAGGGTAAAAGCATTTTTAACACAAACGGAATTTTTGAAGTCAGAAAGTCCTTCTGGGTGGAAACTAGATGGCTCCCTAAGCTGCTTTCTTGATGAACATGCCTGCCTGGCTTTCTCTCTTCCCGCCCTCTTTCCTCCCCCCCCCATCCCCCTGACTTGGAGCCAGGAACTTTTGATTTATAATCCAGCTCTGATACTGATTCCCCTCAGAGGCTTTCAGCAAGTCACTTAACCTCTGCTTCCATTCCCGGAATAATAATGATACTTTACCTTTCATGGATGCCATGAGAAGTCATTAAGGTTAGAAACACTTTGCAGACAAAAGTCCAGTTCTGCTCTCCATTACGGGGGGAGTAATTTGTAGACTTCAGTGGGAGTCACACCTGCATAACTGAGGGCAGAATTGGGCCTAAAAATTATTTGAGATGAGTACTAATACTTTGTCTCTTTTCTAAAACCATCACCCTCCTCTGACTAAATGAAGGAGTTATTTTTCAGGAATATGTGGGAGGAAGAGGGGTGAGACTTTCCTTTTGCTTCTGATTAATTGATTCTTGGTCTGGTCTCATGGCTATTGTCGGGTGCAGTAGAACCAAACGACAAAAAAATATGCTGTAGCTAGACTCTAGTACAAATGGAGCAATGGTGACCTCTACTGAGAAGGAAAAACTATTCTCTATAAGCCTGTTCAAATTACAGGGGAAATTTGTTTAAATAGTTGCTTTGCAAGACTGTTCCAGTAATAGAGGACTCAGAGCTGAAACATGTTAGAAAAGCAAAGCACATGGAGAGACCAAGGGAGTAGGTGGGATCCACATATGTTGCTTCTGAGAGGCCCATAAAAGAGCTTTTAAACTATCGTTGCTGTTAAAATCTTTCCAAATGCAATTTGCAAGTAATTAATGTTAGCCCAGTACTTGTAGCATTCGGTATACTTTGTATAGGGAATGCTAACTACTGTTAATCAGGCATATGGGAAAACAATACAATTTTAAATGGCGCGCTCTGCCCAGTTGAGGCAGAAAATGGAAAGTTCTTGAAAACAAAAGATTGACAACCTTAATGATCCAACTGATATTTACCATAATGCTCAGGGACGGGTGGACAAAATAAGGTTATTAATGTAATCTTAAATATTCTAAATTGAAGTGCGAGCAATGTAAGGACACAGAAATGTGATTAATGGGCATTACTCATGACCGCAAGGATACATTAGCAGGGAGAGGGAGAAATTGTTGCCATTATGGTGCATTCTCTGCTTGCCCTTCAAATTGACATACAAATATATTCTTGCAGCATTTTTCTTTCCTCTTCTCCCTCCCTCCCCCCCCAGATGTTCAGTGAAAAGTGTAAGTAAAATCTGCCCCGCTAATTAAACTATATCACCATGTAGTGGATTTCAGTTAATCTGCATTTCCAGTTTCCTGAAAACGAATTGAAGTCTTAGCCTAGTTGAGGCAGGACAATTTAATCTTGGATAAAGAGTCCAGTTTGTTTCTCTGCTTGAGCCTCATTGCATTTTCTATATATTAAAAGGTGTCTTTATGTGCTGCTGTCCAGGCTTGTATCGGTATACGTACACATTTAAGCCACTCTGTTTTCCTTTTCTTTTTCCCTCTCTCCCACAGTTTGCAGAGTGGTGTTTAGAGTATGGTGCACATGGATGTCGTATTCCTGACCGACCCTACTCTCTATTTGAAGGTAAAGTATTGTTGCTGCAGTCTGGGTTGTATTAGGAAGGAGGACAATCTTGTGGTAAGGCATGTGACTGGAAGTCAGAAAAACTGTTATGTTTTCCTTTATTGGGGAAAACCTTTTAAAAGCTGCATTCTACAAATTTTCAATATAAAACTGGTGCCACTGGGTATTTGATGATTTATTCATTCGGGGCACTGGTTTATTCATTAATCTGTCCTGTGTTTGGAACCTTTTTGGGTCATAAGCAAGCATGAGTCTGGGCAATTGGATAGTTGTTGTGCATCACAGAACTATCCTATAAATCATAATTACTGAGTGAGCAGCAGACCGGAATCGCAACGGCATTGCAGATTAGTAGTTTGTTTCTTTGACAGAGGCCCGTAAGAAAATTTGTCTGTTGGGCCTGCCTAGGGCCAGACTTAGTTCTATTAGTCCTTTCTTGAGCACCATTATCAACCAAATTCATCCACACAGCTAAAGAAAAGAAATGCCATGTTTTGATTAAAGGCCTTCCTGTGTCACTTAAATATTCTACAACAGTGGTTCTCAAACTAGGGCCGCCGCTTGTTCAGGGAAAGCCCCTGGCGGGCAGGGCTGGTTTGTTTACCTGCTGCATCCGCAGGTTTGGACGATCGCGGCTCCTACTGGCTGCGGTTCGCCACTCCAGGCCATTGGGGGCTGAAAGAAGCGGCGCGGGCCGAGGGACGTGCTGGCCACCCTGCGGACGCAGCAGATAAACCGGCCCGGCCCGCCAGGGGCTTTCCCTGAACAAGCAGCAGCCCTAGTTTGAGAACCACTGTTCTACAATGAACAAGTAGAAAAGTAGAGTTTATATTTTTCTAACGCTCTCTTGTAAATCCTTATCTTTTGTAAACTCAAAACAAAACAATAATCTTCGCCCTTAAAAGCTTAAAAATAGCTTTGCTGTTCTTTGATAGTGAACCTAATGCACCACCTATCACAAGTTTGGGGAATTACAGAGGATTTTATACGGGTGTGTTTTTTAGAATAGTAATGCAATCTAAGGGCTTTTATGTCAGCAGCTGTTATATGCACCTCTTCCAAATGCAGTTGGGGTAAAGAATATGATTATAGTGTTCGTATTTCTGATACGGTGCCCTGAATTAACTGCTGCTTTTTGCAGCATCATGACTATCTTTATATGTAGTGGAAGCAAAGTCACCCTTGGAGTTATTTGTAGAATAGAAACTTAGAAACTCACTGAGAACGTGATGCAGAAAGAAAGCCACTCAGGGCTGTCTAGGGGTTAATGTGACCCGCAGCTACAAAAAATGGAAGTTACAATTTGGAGGAACTTTGCCTAAGTTTTTTTTTTTTCCTTCTCTCTCTCACCACATTTTTTCAAGTCTGAGTCAAATTGGCCCTCTCTTGTGCACACATGCGTACACACTCTCTCTCGTGTGTACTCTCTCTCTTTCTGCTAAAGTCACTAGGAGCTGCATGTTCACGTTGTAGGGTGATACTTGGGCCTAGTAGGAAGAGAAGAGTTTTTAATATATTATTTTTTATTGAGCATCCGAGACTCTGAACCAGGAAAACGTTTAAGCATGTCTTTAAGCATATGCTAAAGTTCCATTACTTAAAGTTAAACACATACTTAAGTGCTGTCATGAATCGGGGCCTGTAACTGGGTGGTTAGTGTTACTTTTAAGGAGGGCATTTAAAAATTGTTTTAAGAAGTGGTTAAACTGCAACATTAACAAGATTACATACTATACATCAATAATGACAGAACTCCATTTAGAAAACATTACAGATGTCTTCATAGAATAGCAGTAGCCGCTCTAAAATGCTAAGATTCTTTTATCATTCATGGAATCCAAATTTTACTTGCATTAATACCATGTATTTGTATGAGACCTTGCACAATTGGGCCTCGAGGTTGCTTAGGGCGTCTGGGCACTACCTCCCTGATAACAATAAATATATTAATACCTTGTTTATCCAGTGGTATTGAATTGGTGACATTATGATAAACCAGGGTTCAGAAGTTCAAGAGTTGCTCCGATGGAGACACTGTGACAGGTTACCCCTGGGGTGCCACCTGGAACTGGGGTACTGCTGAGCCCTCTGACCTACCAGCCTGTCACACTGTGCTTCTGTGACAAACTGCAGACACACTCCCGGTCTTACACTTCCACCAGCATACACATAGGTAGGGACACACGCAGCTGCAGTTGCATGCAGGCTCTTTGACTAGTCACTGCAGGTAGCAGCAGTAGAAAGACTACAGCCAAGGTAACTCTCAGCTCCCCAGGCACGCACCCCCTCTGGAGCATAAACCCAAAATGATACTGTCTCGCACTGCACAAGGAACTGTACAGCATAAGCTCATAGTGTTCCCCCCCACACACAATGTGGAGAGGAATATGCAACAGCCCCTCTGAGTTAAGGTTCCTACACACTTCACTCCAAACTCGCTGTTTAGATTAAAACATCAAATAAATTTATTAACTACAAAAGATAGATTAAAAGGGATAGCAAACAGATCAAAGCAGATTACCTAGCAAATAAAGAAAAATGCAACTTAAACTTAATATACTAGATAGATTGGATATGAATAGCAGATTCTCACCTTAACTGATGGTACAGGCAGACTTGTAGATTCTTAAGGCACAGGCTGCATTAGCTTTACAGCTTGGGTTACTCAGGTCTCCATACACAGGCTAGAAATCCCTTTAGCCTGGGTCCAGCACTTCCTCGAGTTCAGTCTTTTTCCTGGGGTGTTTCCAGGAATCTTCTTGTGTGGGGAGGGAAGAACCACAGATGAGGTCATTCCCTGCCTTATATAGCTTTTGCATATGGCAGGAACCTTTTGTTTTAAAACTTGGTTCCCAGACCAGTTTGTGGAGAAATACTGACATCCCAAGATGGAGTCCAGAATCATGTGGCCTGGTCACATGTTCTTGCAGAGTCATAGCAGCCATTACTTACAGGCTGTCTGGAGTGTTCTCAGGAAGGCTTACCAGATGAAAGATAAATTTCTCCTAATGCCTATTGTTTTCCCTAATGCCTCATTGCCCTGAATAGTAGGGTGACCAGACAGCAAATGTGAAAAATCGGGAGAGGGGGTGGGGGGTAATAAGAGCCTATATAAGAAAAAGACCCAAAAATCGGGACTGTCCCTATAAAATTGGGACATCTGGTCACCCTACTGAATAGGCCTCCCAACCAGCTATCTAGACTGAAAGCATCTTGTTTAGTGGGCATTACCCAGGTGTAACTACATTTGAAGCACAGATACATAGTATTTATAACTTCAGATACAAAAATGATACATGCATACAAATAGGATAATCATATTCAGCAAATCATAACTTTTCCAATGACACCTTACATGACCCATCTTGCATAAAATACATCATCATTATGATATAGTCATATAATCGCACCATGAAGAATGTGAGGTGCAGTATCAGACACAATCTAAATTAGGATAATCATAGAATATCAGGGTTGGAAGGGACCTCAGAAGGTCATCTAGTCCAACCCCCTGCTCAAAGCAGGACCAATCCCCAGACAGATTTTTACCCCAGTTCCCTAAATGGCCCCCTCAAGGATTGAGCTCACAACCCTGGGTTTAGCAGGCTAGTGCGCAAACCACTGAGCTATCCCTGCCTCCTAGGATCTTTGGTTATTGATATAGGTTGAGGTGGTGCCAGACTCTGCAGATCCAGAGTGCCCCACAGTGTGCACAATTTAAGGCCTCAGTCCTGCAATTGGATCCATACAGGTGAAACTTGCACCCTTGCAAAATCTCAGTGGCTTTGGGGCTCCATGTGCACATAAGGATCCCCCCCAGCTCAGAGCAGACTGCTGGCTGGGGGTTTTAAAATGGGTTCTGAGATATCTGGTTTGAACTCTGACTGATTGTTTTTTAATTTCTTAAGCTATTGTAATAAGAAATCAGTTTGTATGTTTCAGGCATGGCGGGAGCTATTCATTTCCTATCGGACATATTGGTACCAGAGACTTCCCAGTTTCCAGCATTTGAACTTGGACCTCAAAGGAGAGAAAACAAAGTGGAACAGGACAGCTAAGAGATCTGTTGCAATGGAAACTCAATGTCAAGAGTGACAAGACTATCTAGTGCCTCTGATACTGAACCAACTTTAAAGCCTAAATAAGTGACAAGGAAATCCCTCTTCACACCTCTTTCTCCAAAGGACCACAAGTCATTAAAGCATGAATCAGAAGCCATGCCCAGGTTTTATTTAAGTGATGCCTTCGGTGGTGGGAAAAGAGAGATTAAGTTTTGAACTCTTTTTTGCAGTTGTTCTCTTCAGGTCTTTCAAGTGTTTGCATGTTTCTTGGTGTTGTCCATAGATGTGAGTCTTTCGTTGTAAGCCAAAAGCTGTTTTCTTGTGTGAATCCCACTCTTGTCCCTTTTGTGCATGAGTAACAGCAGCAGGATCGCTATTTCTGCAATGTGACTGTGGATAAGGTTCCACTTGGCCTGACAAATGAGAGTCCAGTGTAGTGTAGTGACCAGGTTAATACATAGTTATATCTTAAATGAGCTGATAATTTTCAAACAAAACATAAAGCTTTTCTGTGCTGTACTTCTCTGTTTCTTCATAAGAAATATTTTTCTCCCCATCCTCTAGAACAGGGGTGGGCAACCTGCGGCCCATCAGGGTAATCTGATTGCGGGCCACGGGACATTTTGCTGACATTGACCGTCCACAGGCACGGGCCCCCAGAGCTCCCAATGGCCGTGGTTCTCTGTTCCCAGCCAATGGGAGCTGTGGGAATGTCCCATTGACCGGGAACGGCGAACCGAGGCCCCTGGGAGCTGTGGGGGGCCGTGCCTGCGGACGGTCAACATCTGCAAAATGTGTCACGGCCCACAATCAGATTACCCTGATGGGTCACAGGTTGCCCACCACTGCTCTAGAAGTTATGTTTAAAGAAACTGGCCTGAATTTTAAGAAGTGATTTTTGGTGGCTCGGTTTTCAGTTTGAGAAGGCTTAAAGGGACCTGATTTGTCAAACATAGGGGCTCAGCACTTTCAGAAAGAGAAGCCCCTTTAAGATGTCTTCAGTTGGGCCCTAAAAATTGAGGCATTCAAAATCATTAATAATTTTTGAGACTATAGGTCTTCCTGCCCTACAGAGCTGCTTGGAGTCCCCTTCCTAGAGCAGTAACAAAAGCAAAGTATTTCTTAGTTCCTTAAACACATACCAGAAGATGCCATGAGTGTGTTACTCATACCACTATTTCTCAAAGTTTCATGCAATAGCAAAGTGTGAAACTGTGACAGCAGTTACTTTTCCTGGTAGTACTCTTTGGTTATAACAAGCACATCCTCTGAAGGAATCTGTACAGCATACAGTTTACAACATACAAGTAAACATGTGGGGAGACCAGGGCTGGAAGAATAAGAGCATCTAGTTATTGGTAATTCAGGAAGGCGCACCACTTCTGAAATGAGAGGAGAGCAACTCATTTCCTCTTTGTTCTGAATTTCAACGAGCCTAATAGCCCATCTGGTATGATAGGAGCTGTAAATGTTAGCCAGTTGGGGAGGTACAAAAGCATTAATAAACAAAACTTAAACTATCACAGTGACCTGCAGTTGAAACTTGTTATGCAAAATATAAAATACAAGCAAAAAATAAAATAAAATTCAGATTTGTGTTGAGCAACCTCCCTCTCCAGTAGTTTCAATAAAAGGACAAACGGTCTTATAGGACCAGCTCTTCAGCAGGTATAAATCAGCATAGCCTCACTGAAGACAGTGCAGCTGCATGTACTGTTGAGGATCTGTTACCTAATATTAATTTTCTGTTTCAGTCAGAGGGAAGTGGTATTGCATCAGGATTCCCGGGGAATAGAACTAAACCTGATGTTCCTCACTCTAGTGTTTTAAAATGTTTATTATGTAAGTGCCTTCATCTGCAAAAAGGGCCTTATTGGAAGTGAAGGCTCCTTTATGTTTTATTAAGATTTCTGCAGTTAAAGTATATCAGCCAAATCCCAACTTGTATAACCCCAGTTTGCCTGCTTTAAACAGTACCTCCCCACACCCCCGCAGTTTCATTTGGTTACAAGGTTTATTCTCTACTTCTTTCCCTAAGCTATTGTGCAGTGTTGTTATGCAATGTGTGCAACCCACCGTAGGGCTAACATGGGTAGCCCAGGTCTGGCCTTGTGAGCCTAGGGGTAACTCATAGCACCGAGGAAAAAATTGGGCCCCTAGTTTATAGAGAGCATTGAAATCCTTCAAAAGAGAAGGTGCTGCAGATGTGTCATCATATTTTTTCTCTCTCTCCTCCAGCCTCTCCCCAACCTCCACCTTTCCCGGTAACCATAATTTAGTTCACATTTAATATCAGTGTGGTGTGACTGTGATCTTGTTGAGACTCAACAGACCTTCCGGGCATATGTTGACATAAATACGAACGATCTGTGCACCCTACAGTAAGATCCTAGGACTATCTTCACAGTTAAAAAACACTGGCTTTCCATCCTGTGCAAATGTCAGAACAGTGACCAGTATGGCCCATTATGCCATCTGTTGCCAAATGACTGGCGGGATTATGCCCCCGATTCAGTTCTTTTGTAAGTCTCAGAAGGCTCATGTGGCTGGCTGGCTGTATGGGTAGAGAGGAACGTGAGGAAAGGTTTTGGGCCGAAGAGGGATCCAGGCAAGCTGCAGAGTGAGGAAAGAATGGAAGGGAAGAGGCAGAAGGGCATGAGAGTGAGCGTAGAGCAGAGAAGGGGAAGTGGGGGCAGTGAGGAGATCGGAGAGCAGAGGAAGGGATACAGTGTCTGCAAAATGTACCAATGGAAGCCATGTCCAGTGAGGAAATGAGCCTGCTGTGGAAGCCCATCAGAATAATAATAGCAAACAGGTCTGCGGATGCAGGATGCAAAGCTGCCTGATGAGTCCTGCACCTCTTGTGGGTCACGCTGCTTAGTTCTTTCATCTCACGCCTGTTATGACGGCGGAGCAAACGTCATCCTCAGAAGAGGGTGGAACAGAAAATGGGGTGTTCCATAAGGGATTTTCACTCCCGTGATTGTAAGCCTCGTTGGCTACTACGTTCTGTCTGGCAGTTCTGGGAGGTAACTTTGGCTGGATGGAGCCTAATGTGCATTATAACAAAATAGTCACTGGATAGTTTAAAAAATACACATTAGAGCTGTTTTATAACACCTGATTGCCAAACCTCCAATTCACTAGTCAAAAAACAAACGAGAGCAGCCAGCCTGTGGCTTGGTTGGCCTGCTGCTGCTGAGTGAAGTTGACAGCATGTTGTGTGGCCTAATCTTCTCGCACACTAGCTAAACTGGCAGCATGCTGGGTAAAGTAGGAAACACACTACTGAATGTTGGGCTTGCCTCTTCTCCCCCATATCTTTTATCATGGACCCTTGTCATCATTCATGCAAGCTCCATGGAATGCAGTGGGCCAATAGGAATGGGCATATAGTGCATAGGTGTTTGTTTTTTTTTTAAAAAAACAGCAAATTCTAGACTTGAGTTTCCAGAAATCACATGGAGCTAAAACTTTAAAATGTCTTTACATTTTTTAGTTTGCTTTGTCCATGTTTAATGATCCATTTGTGGCAAAGGAACAGCAGTGATGTTGAAATCAGAGAAGGTCATTGTGTAGAGAGGGGAAAAAAAGTGCTGGTGGTTTTGTTCATTGGTGTTGTTAGTAAAAGCCCATTTGTCTGGTGGTAACTTGTAAAAAACCTCTCTCCTGCACGCACACTCTGTTCAGTATATGGGAATGATTTACTATCCATACCAGCTAATCAGTTAGATGAACTGCTCCAGGGCTTTGTAATTGTATTGAATGAAATAGGAAATCCCCAAGAGTGATACAAGGCTGTGACTGACTTTCATAACCTGCCCCATAATGACATTGGAGGTCTCAGCATTGCTGAGCCTGTTTAGAGTCCTAAGCAGTATCAAACTATCTACTGTAAATCATCCCAGAGCAGTTTTGCCTTAACCTACTTTCCATCTCCCTTGGTTCTATTTATTAAGTCGATAGATTCTTCAAGGAAAGATTCATTGTAAAATCATGTTGTTGTTTTTAACAAAACTCTCTGATCCAAAATGCCTTTCACCCTAGCCTGATCTGAGAATAGTGTATAAAATCATGCTTCTGTGCGTGGAGCAATAATTGCCATAATTGTTCTCAAGGGCCCTGATGATACTTATTTCCTTTAGAAAATGCTTTGAGGCTTACTGATGAAAAGTGCTATCTATATAAGAGCCAGGTGTTGTTATATTCCATATACTGCCTTCAGGTGGTGTGAACAACTCTTGTTGGCATCAATAAGAGTTGCATGCTTGGATCAAGGGCAGCGTATGTCCCTTGCCAGTATGCAAATAATCTAATGTAAACCTCGCAAAATAAGAATGGCCATACTGAATCAGACCAAAGGTCCATCTAGTCTAGTATCCTGTCTTCTGACAGTAGCCAATGCCAGGTGCTTCAGAGGGAATGAACAGAACAGGAAATCATCAAGTGATCCATTCCCTCTCGCTCACTCCCAGCCTCTGTCAAATAGAGACTAGGGACACTATCCCTGCCGCTCCTGGCTAATAGCCATTGATGGACCTATCCTCCATGAATTTATCTCGTTCTTTTTTGAACCCTGTTGTAGTCTTGGCCTTCACAACAAAGAGTGCCACAGGTTGGCTGTGTTGTGTGAAGAGCTGCAGGTTGACTATGTGTTGTCTTTTTTCCACTGTAGCTGAAGCCCTGACTAGAAATAACCACTAGGCCTATTGATGGTTTTTCAGTGTATTATGTGGAGTTTCAGCTGCACAAATTCCACTGTTTATAATTGGAATCACACAGTTAAATCCATATCTAGTGTTTTGAAAATGTACCCATTTGGGCTCGTCTGCACTTGAAATGCTACAGCAGGAGGGGCTCTCCTGTCAATGTAAGAAATCAACCTCCCTGAGAGGTAGGACGTCGGTCAGCACAGTTTATACCAGCAGTTACATCAGTATAGCTTTGTCTTTTGGGATATGGATTCTTCACATCCTTGAGAGCAGTAGCTATGCCAGTGTAAGTTTGCAGTGAAGACCAGCCCTTAGTTTATAGACTGTTTGTTTGCAAGAACAAGATTAGCACACACTTTTAAAGATCTTTTTGCCAGTCCCCACTGCAGCAGTCCATGCCCTGTAAAGGAGGTTCTAGTTAAAACAGCACCACCCAGTCTTTTGT